TAGAAAGATCGAGATCATACGATGCTGCTTCATGACGTGCAAGATATGGCCTGTCTGCGGCGCGCTGAATTCCTTTTTCAGTGATTTTTTTAGTTGTTGTACCTATTGCGTACTTTTGCGTACGCCTCTGTATATAAAATAAGTAACCTGCCCCCAGGGGTGTTGCTCCCTATTCAACTGAAAAGGGCGGTTTGCCCCTCCCCGCCTCGTAGCTTGGAACTCACCCCTCCCACATTTTAAGAGAAAAATAGACCAAATCCGGATTTTTCGCAAATTTTGGGGTGGCTTTCATAATTATTTACGGCTCAGCCCTCCACCCTACTATGTCAAACTATGCCCCTGTGCGGCACTGATTCAAAGAGATCGACAGAACGGATATAAGGGTTCTGATAGAATGTATTTGTGAAAAAATAGAAGACTACACACTACCGTTAACTTGTCCTCATTCGGGAACGCATTGAGGACGAGATAACAGTGTGCAACAAAATGGATAAGCAGTTTTTTTCGTTTGCTTCTTGATATTCAGTTCGCAACTCTGAGATCAATGTTGGTATTGGTATCTTGATCTTCAGTTCTCTGAGACACAGAGAGTAGTAGCGTATAATATGAGGAGGCAGATCACCAAATAGGGACAGAACAACTGTTTGGTAAACCACAGGGTGGGGAGGGCCTGGTGGACCAGACATTCAAAATCTGGAAACATGTGTGAACAGCAAAGTATGGGTTCGGAGGTTGATAAAGTAACTTTAAATGGGTGGAAGCATTGTGCGATCTCCAAAGCTTCTTTGGGATAAGCCATTTTATTTCATTTTGGGCGTCTCATCACGTATTTGGGACAAGCCATTTCACCTGTCAATTGTGTTATCGACACAAGTCAATTGTGATATCGTACCACTGAGTACAGCCATTTGCTAGTGAGGTTTGCCGCAGGAACCCGAAGTGCGACATAAATTTTCTGGACTGGCTATCATGGAACCTCAGAACCAGTCCCAAAGGTGTTGCTGACTAGAGAATAAATTCCTCAGTTACCTCTAATTTCCTACACCTTTGGAACCGCTTATGTATATATATATATATATATATATATATATATATATATATATATATGTATATATATACATCGATGTATACTTATACATAATATATATCTATATACATAATCAGCCGTCAGCACTATCGACCTGCAGTCTGTGTCGAGCGGGACTAGAGACTGCTCGATATGTGTGAATCAAAAACAAAACTAACCTTCCAGCCCACATAACGCAAGTGGCTCTAGCACACCAGGGCCCAACGTGCAGTGAATGACAAACAAAGCGGATAAGCCAGCTTGGCAGGCAACGATTTCTCTCAGTTATCTGGCGATGTAAACAATCACTGAGAGATACGCAATCTCACGATTTCGTCCGCTCACAAGGATCAAATAACGTGGCGTGAAAAAAAAATAGACAGCTTGTGACAAGTCTATCCACACCGCCTGATTACAAGTGTTTAGTCACGAGTGCCTATATTTTTCAGCGGTCCAGGCAGATTGAAACGTTGAGCTTCAATTCATGCACGGGTGTGGCTTCTATCAACAGGCGTGCTGGCTCATGCTTCGTCACGCGAAGGGGCAGTTCACCAATTACGTAACGTTAAATAAGGCGGGGGAGTTGACCCGCCCGTGACAGCGTGTTGCATAGAGGAGTGAGAGTGTGGTGACTAGAGTTGCACGACGACTTGGTGTATCAGTGAAACTGATAACCAAATAGAGAAAAAAGAACACAGAACAATGTAAAGATATGCCTAAAAGTGCAGCTGATGGCACCAGCTTTTAAACCTTGCCCTAGGCAGGGAAGTCCCGTTTCAAGCCTCCGCTGGGTGGGTTCTTCTCTGAAATTCGGCGATCATGCTCAGATGGTGATCCATCCGAGATTATACACACACATCTGTTCCTTGCGTTCACAGAAGTAACAAACGCGTCTGATGAATACAACAGTTGTAACTTAACCGTTGCAGCAGACGCCAAGTAGCACGGCGGAGGCGGCTCCATGGCTTGAGGAGGGACGTTTCCAGTGGTGAGGTCCATTGTGGGTCGCCAAAGCCAGTGTATAAGGAATATATCTCGGTATCTAGGTGCAAAGCTTCAGCCAATGTTTACACAGAGTCGACCTATACGGTGGCAAAATGCTCGTTCGAGTTTCTTGTTCACTAATAGCCTCCAGTGGCAAAAAGGAATTACATGATGATATTTCTGTTGCAGATATGTTATTTTATTCTACTTTGTATATACCTTATCTATGAAATAATCATTAGCCATATTTCTGTTGTTTTCTGTTTATTAGGTCTAATAGTTTTTATCTCAATATCACATAGGCCTACATAACAGCCTGAAATATCGCAAGACTGTATGAATCACGAACTGGTATAAATTTTGCATTCATGATTTTTTTTATCCACAAGGGTGTATCCGCATCACATACCTAAGGATTTGATTGTAACGTGACGCGGCTGGATTTTGGGTGGTTCTGGAATGGAATACACTCCAGCTCGACTATTCCCGCTCAGCTGGAGCAGCGGTGAAACTTTGCACACCTTGGGGGCAAGGACTTACACAATTTTGCATTTTTAACGTAGAGCCTACGACAATGCATGACAACGATTGGCCCCAAAATGTCCACATTTACTTCAACACGCGCCCGGGTGGCCGACTAGATACCCTACGCTAGGGTGGGGGTGGGGGTGGGGGGGAGGGGGTGGGGGGCAACGCCGCCGCTTCTTGATGAATTCCAGGCTGGAGTTGACGAAGACATCATCCTTCACTAGCATTGTTGTCTTCGGAGGACCCACGTCGACATTTGCGTCGCTCGCTATAGATTCCCAATGGTAACTTTGAAATGTATCAGGTGTGATATAAAAAGAAATAGTTCGAAAATCGTTCAAAAGGTCGTACTCATAATACATCAACTTTACTACAACAGCAGAATATCCTTTGTGCCTTCGCAACGTAAGGATGTCTGATCATAAGCGCAGTACTTAAAGGCCTCACGGCTGGGGGGGGGGGGGGGGTTACTGGAGGAGGATTTCGGCAAGTCGAATTTCCGGTCACCATAAAACAAAATCTGCGTATGAGGCCAGCGCACAGAAAGAACGGTGACAGCCAACAATGAACCGACCGTAGGCCGTGGTTTGAATCCTGCACCGATTCATATGCACACCGTAATATAAAAAGGCTGAAATTGTTTTGTTTACCATGCATTTAGCGGCACTAGTCTGCACTGCATGGCTTTGAAAGTACTTCAAAGGTGTTTTATGACCATTCAGCACGCGGTCTCAGTAAATGATGAGATAACGCGTGTGCTTTTGTCGCATAAACGCGTGCGTTTTTAACGCGGCGGACTCGCGGCGGTCCGGCGAAGAAATGAGTTTAGCCTCACGAACTGCTAAATGTGCACGCATCCCATGCGTCCAATGTAAGCAATCAAATGCATGCATCCACCGCGACTACGAACTGCCTAGACCGTTTCAAAGACATGGTAGAGCGTGAGCTACCCGCAAATCGAGGTTTTCACTGGGGGCGATATCGTGGCTCACCGGAGTACATTTGACGGTCACTAGTGGGGATAATCCTCCTCCTCCTCCTCCTCCTCCTCCTCCTCCTCCTCCTCCTCCTCCTCCTCCTCCTCCTCCTCCTCCTCCTCCTCCTCCTCCTCCTCCTCCTCCTCCTCCTCCCCCAGTTACGATGTCAAAGTAGGCCACGGTACGCCCAGTCGTAAATCTTGGTTGCACCTCTGATATCTTGGTTTGTGACGTCACCAACAATCAGCTGAAGTGTTTACGACCTTCAATGTCGTTGCATAATCAGCTGCCGACAGCGCAGCCACCAACATCACTTGGAGCGGGCTGGGCGCCGAGTGCTGGCGAGGAGGCCATTTCTTGTAACATAGACAGCACGGATAAGTAAACCTAGGTGCTAGAAACATTCTAAAATGTCTCCTAATATGGTATTTACCGTAAAACTTACCTGAATACGGTTGCCTTACCTAAAACATTTCATAAACCGCACAACATGGGTACTAGAAATGCCTGCCCGTCTAAGAAGTGCAAGGCCTACGCCGGGAAAATGCTTCTACCAGAGTGAACAAAATGCCTCTCACCCCTTCAGTTGAGTACCGAATCTTTGGCTTACCTGCGAAGGGAGGAACTAGCCGGTAGAGTTCGTTTTCTTGCAGGATTGACTGCAAAGTAAATCCCATTCCAAAATTTGTCTTGATGTTTGCCTCGGAGCCATTCATTTCGAATTCAAAGTTATTGCTACTGAAGAAATGCAAGGAGGCACTAAGGCACCCGCCTATCCACTTCAAACAAGTTTCTCACTAGTCCTTAACAACACTGCATCCAAGCAGTAGAAAGGGCATCTGCTGCGTCCACAAACCTTCTCTCAAAAACCCATTTCACAGCGCTGGCGTTCACTCTTGCACGCACGCAATGACCACCCCACGCTGAATGTTTACATTCATGATCTTCTATAACAGATCGTAGCCCCGGCTGACAACTGCGCTTTTTGGCGCGAGCCTTGTGGATATATTGTTAGCTACGCTCTGAGTTCTTTAACAGCAAAAACATAGTTAGCATTGAAACCATTTTTTACTTTTGTTCCAAAAATTGAATAAAAATTATCGAAATCTATGAAATTTTGGGCTAATTTATACCTTATAGCACATTTTGTTCAAGTTTACGAGAATATCCACTAGTCGCGCTTGTACTTTTATCATCGTTATCACAGCGAACTTGGGTTGTAATTCGCGCATTTATGAAACGCAAAACAATACAGGGCACAATCTCAGAGATGAAGGTGCCAGGCCAAAATATTTTACCCTTGCCATGAAAATATCTACGAATGTTTCATTCAGGCCTGTCCACGCTGACCATGCAATGATTGCCATATTTGGTAACGAAGATGCTGCCTTTATGCAGCGTTATAATCCCACACAGTACCCAATCGCAACAATAGTGCCACATTTGAATCAGTACGCTGCTATAGTTTTGGTGGAGCGTGCTGAGGCCCACATGCGAACCAGCGCGGACAACCGCCAGTGGTGGTTTGAGCTGGAGGGTGTCGGAGAGTGCGCGTTACAGGGCACTGGGCCAGATCAAGGAGCCAGTGTTTAGGTGATATTTATTGTACATGCGTTCTAGTTAGTGTCCTGATAAATAGCAGTGGACATCAAGTCCGCTTATCACATTAACTCGCTAAGAAACCTCTAATGTTTGCTTTAAACGTAGTTGTCTGAGGCACGCTGTGATAAACGTTTGAATGTTGGTAGCAGGGGCATTGCTTCGTATTTAGTTCGGAGGGGCAGGGGAATTCAGCCTCCCTCCCCTTCTGAGTGTGTGGGTGCTTGAGGCCTGCATCATTGAGAAGAGGCCCAAATCTGTGGAAAATATTTTATTGTAACTATTGTTAGTGCATTTTTAGGGCAGGTTTGGCAGTAGCCATTCTTGGCAAGCTATTTTTCTCTGGTAGGAAACATTGGGATACATGGGGTACAGCCTTTGCTACTAAATTCTGCCCTTGACCTGGAATTGTGTGACAGGGAGGTAGGAGTCATGGCTCACACAACAAGCACTGTTTATCATGGGCTCTAATGCCAGAAATCCATATATTCAAGAGGTTTGGATTACATAACTTAAAAACAAATGGGCTGACATTGTGGTCATGAATGTCACACTTAGGTGCAGCCAAATTGTATTAGTTTTTCACATTTTTGTGAATATCTTTTTCAGAATATTTTTGCCCAAAATTACCTTTGAAATGTCACAATTATTTGAAATGGGCTCCTTTTATGCTGTAATTGATACTGGCCATACCCTGATTTCTGAACTCTCAGGTTTACAATGTGGTTGCTCTGAAACTGTTGTGCCCTTCTTACCACTAGAGAGTCATGTTTTTTTTATTTGACAGATTCTTTGGCTTCATGCATTTTAATCTTCTGCCTGGTTTGTTTTTTCATGATGCAGACTGATGCATGGTGGGTGCCATCCTCTTTGTTTCCAGTCTGGGAACAATAAAGCCTCATAGAAAAACCTTTGGTTAGGTATCAACAAGATCATGTGGTTGCTAATGGGTTGAATATTGTGGGATCAATAATGAAGCAAACAGGTCAGCCCAAAAGTCAAAAGTTCCTGAAAATGGAACTTTTTAACCCAACATACTCATGTATGCAAGGCCATGCCCAGTAATGAAGCGAAACTTAAACCAGTTTGTTCCCTGCACAATTATATGCATGATAGGTTGTGGCTTCATGTGTTTGGAGCATATTTTTTACAATATGGGGCCCCATTAATGTGTCAGCATGCTATGCACAGTCTGTGGAAACATCAGTTGCTGCTGTGCCAGCCATTGATTGCTGTGCAGTGTGCGTAAGGAGTGTCTTTTCTGAGACACCAGAAATGGTACAGACATGGTCTGTGTCAAAACACAACACACACAGTAAATGCCTCACTGCTGTGTTGGAAAACTTGATGTTTACTGGGATACTGTATACCAGGATATTTTGTACTCCAGGATTGTGACTAGGTAAAATGAAATATTTTGTACCCCATCATGATGCAACAAGAATAGCTTTTGGAAAAAACTCATTTTACTTCTTTGTGTAAGGACAAAATAAAGCCAAAAGGTGCAACAGCTTGAGACTTGCTGCTTCCATCTGGAGCCATGTATTGATATCTGCAAGGGCACAAATCTTGCACCCACCAGACTAAGATGCCCAATAGCAAGCAGCCTGTGTTGCCACCTAGGTATATGATGAACCATGTATGGAAATGTGAAAAATAAGGCATGTGAATGTTGAATGGAATCGCCTTTGAACAACACCGGGAAACGAGAAACAAGTACCAGAATTGCACCAGTTTGTAGATTAGCAAAGCTCTCACTTCCTATGCCCCACATACACCAACTCAAACTTGAACATAACTTAACCTACCATTGATGAATCTCATTAATTGCCAAGGATGCGACAGACATGCACAGAACATGGCACGCTCAACCACGTGCTGCAGACGGCCACATGCTGCATTCTCCCACAATGTCTTCTTCTGGAAAATGGGGATTTTTGCTGTTAGTTTTCAACTTCAACTTTTGTGAGTTTTTTACATTTGTTTACAGGAATTTTTCACTCTGATACACCATTATTCCTACAAGATCTGCAATAATACTGTTAAAATTGGGAGCAGATATGAATGAAGCATCTAACTGAGCTGTGTGTATGGCTAGCCACATGTCCTACCCTTAAGCAGTAATTGGTCGCTAAGTGAATAAAAGGTTTTTAGTAAATTGGGAACAGATGTAAATGAAGCATTCAACCGAGCTGTGTGTGTAGCTTGCCACATGCCCCACCCTTAAGCATTAATTGGTCATAAAGTGAATAAAAGGTGTTTATAAGCATTGTGTTTGCTCTTCTTGCATGTGGTGTGATTTGTTGGCTATGATACCAACTCTTGTACATAAATCAGACTGCATGAAATAATCCAGGATGCCAATTATTGTGCATAATTAATTTTCAAATCTACCTTTTCCTCATCCGATTTATTCAGGCACTTTTGGTGTAATGCTAGTGACAAGTTGCCCATCATGCGCACTGCTCAACTCTTACATAGACTGGAAACTTTGAAGGTACTTGTTTCGCAACAAATACGCAGCTGAATTCACTCACGGTTTGCTTCTTGCATCAGCTTTTGGACTTTGTACTGTGATCCACACGCACCCAACTAACCCTGGCTCTGCCTTTGCAGGTGATCATTGGTCATGGCCCGCAACGCCGAGAAAGCGATGACGACGCTGGCGCGCTGGCGGCAGGCGCACTCGGAGGCGGGACCCGAAAAGACGCGGCGACCGTACCTAGCCTCCGAATGCGACCAGCTGCCGGACGCCGAGCGCTGGCGCAACCAGATCGTGCGTGAGGTGGCGCGCAAGGTGGCGCAGATCCAGAACGCCGGCCTTGGCGAGTTCCGCATCCGCGACCTCAACGACGAGATCAACAAGCTGCTCCGCGAGAAGGGTCACTGGGAGGCGCGCATCAAGGAGCTGGGCGGGCCCGACTACGCGCGCACTGGGCCCAAGATGCTCGACCGCGAGGGCAAGGAGGTGCCTGGCAACCGCGGCTATCGCTACTTCGGCGCGGCGCGCGACCTGCCGGGTGTGCGCGAGCTCTTCGAGCAGGAGCCGCCGCCGCCGCCGCGCAAGACGCGTGCCGAGCTCATGAAGGACATCGACGCCGACTACTACGGCTTCCTGGACGACGAGGACGGCGTGCTGGTGCCGCGCGAGCGCGAGCAGGAGCGCCGCGCCGTCGCCGCCTGGCTGGCCGAGTGGCGCGCGCGCAAGGAGGCGGGCGTCGACACCGAGGAAGGCGACGCGCCGGCGCATGACGTAGACAGCGAAGAGGAGACGGATGCGGCGGCGCCGCGATTCGTGGCGCACGTGCCCGTGCCGTCTCAGCAGGAAGTGGAGGCGGCGCTGGTGGAGCGGAAGAAGCGGGAGCTCCTGGCGCGGTACGCCTCGCAGGCGCTCGTAGACGAGGAGGATGCAGCCAAGGACCTGGTGGGCGTGGCGCCGGCGAAGACTGAGTCGTAGCGGCAGAGTGCGTCGCGTGTCATTGTGGTGTCATGTTCATCGTGTGAAGGGGTCGTGACGCTGGGCCCCGAGAATGGCTTCGCGGTCACATTTTCGTAAGTGCGGACGAGCGTCACCTGATGGTTGGACGACCATGAGTTTCGTTTCATGTGAAGGTTTGTGTACCCACGGCGTCGATGCGCTGTTGGAACGATTGGCGACTTGGTAGTCCTCTAAAGCGGCAACTCGATTGTGCGTCCCCAAAAGCTTGTTTTTTGGAGACATTCCGGTGTTAGATGAACGTGTAATACAGTATGTTCTGTAGCGCGAGAACGCTTGATCCGGGCAGGACAAGACAGGCTAAGATTACAGCATGTATTTTTAAAACAGTTCATATCAGTGACATTTATACAACGGCGCAGAGAATAAATCACGTGTGTCGGGGCGTGTCAACCCCATAAAAAGCCTTTGGTACGAGCACAAATAGGTGGGCTGAGTAGGACATGCTCGAGTCATGTGACTAGTGGCAGCATGTCGCAACAAACGAGAGCTCGGTGCGACTGAGATGCTTACATCACGATACAAACAGCGTGAGAACCTGGCGCAGCAAGGCAAAGAAATATCGCAAATCCTGAGGTAACAAGAGACCTGCGTTGGCCCCACAGTCGGCTCCACTGGCACGAATATCTGCGGAATGTAATCTCCAGGCGCGGTTACAACACGTGCAGCGTGCGACACTCCGACACAAGCCCCGGCTGGACGCGCATGCTGAAGAGCGCGCGCGCGCCGGGCTCGGCGAGTACGGAAAACATGACACTGGCAGAGCACGCAACGAGGGGCCCATTTCGCTCCGACTGGCGCCATGCAGGGCCCCACCCACACCGGCGCGCCTCGTCGGCGTCCACATCCAATCCGCCCGTGCCTCCCTGACCCGACGCCCCTGGCCTCCACCTCACCCCCTCCCCTCCCCTCCCTCTCCTACCAGCTTGCCGCCGCCGGGCCCCCTTTGTACTGGCGGCGCCGCCGTGCCGTCTCACAGGCGGGGCCGGTAGGCGCCGGCGACCGTCGTCAGCTCGCTGAGCGAGCGCCGCAGCGCCACCGGCGGCTGCAGCGGCGCGCGCGGCACCGCGCCGTTCTCCTTGTCGCGCTGGCTGGACGAGCGGCGCACGAGCCGGCGCTCCAGCCGGTCGCGGCTGGCCGAGCGGCGCGGCGGCCGCCGCTCCTGCTCCTTGCTGGAGGAGCGACGCACCAGGCGGCGCTCCATGCTGGCCGAGCGGCGCACCAGCCGCCACTCCTTGTCCTTGCTGGAAGAGCGCCGCACCAGGCGCCGGTCGCCGTCGCCCGCTGCCGGCGGCCGGGGGGGCGCAGCGTTAGCGAGTGTGCGGGCGGCGGCTTTCCCTCCGGATAAAATGACGCGTGGCAGGGATGTTGGGGGATTATCGCGCTGTGTTGACATTATGTAATTTCGTTGCGTCCGTCTTACGGTCGATCTACTCGGTGTCATATTTCCGGACACCACCGAAGTACGGTACATCAGTTGAACCAGTATGTTTGGGATATTTTTCATTCTTCAGGATGAGCCAAGTGCATGACGCTGGTTCTCGATCCGTGCTACACGACGATTCATGCCATCCAGCACACATGTTTGATATGTAGGCCCTACTTGAGTTTTTACGGCAAAAAAAACATTCAAATAGGCAAAAGGTCGTGAAAATGTAAGCGACCTTGGCGGAGCACTCAAACAAAAAACACCAAAAAGATAACAGGCTTCTGGACTCAGTTATCATTATCCAACCGTACTGAATCAACCAATATTCGGTAACAAGACAAAGCTGGTTATTCCTTAGAGGGCATGAGAATGCATGAGTTATATTTACACCTGATATGGTATGCTGGATGATACCAAATAACACTATACATGGCGGATGCTAACCAGTAATTGCCCAAAGCATTACGCGGGTGGTCACTGTCACTTGGTTTAGTTATGGATCTCGGTATACCCACGTACTCCTGTACACCATGGGTAAACCGCGTAACTTCACCTATTTTGCAACCACGGTACCTTGTCATGAACATAGCACTAGAAGACCCACAGCGCCAGCTTCACGCTCGTAGGTGACAGTCTGAATCGCATGTCTGCATCTATAGCCTATAGCAAACCCAAACCGGCAGCATTCCATCGCCTCCACCGGGTACTGACATGAGACGCAGAGAGTGCGCGCGACCACGGACGTCCGCCCACCGGCCGTCGACATGACGTCATCACCGGCCGTCGGTGTGACGCCATCGCCAGCGGGACCGTACAGGTCGACCGGCGTCAGAAACCACTCGGTCCTGGTGCGCATGCGCTCTGTCTGCCGCTCGTGCACCTGGAACGCACGGCTCGGCGTCTGGCACGGCAGAGGTTCAGCGACGGGTCCGGGTTGGATGCCAGAATGAGCGATGCTCGAGCACTCTGGAAGAGGTCGATCCACCGCGATCCTGACTGGGGCGGGTCGCCACGCGTCCCCTCAGGTGATACGCAAAACAGCCGAACGCCTCACATGTAGTAACACACCACCCTTTACCGATCGCGACACGTGAGGCTATGCGAGCAAAACGTGCCAGTTTTTTCATTAACTGGTCCTTTCAACTCCTGATCCACCCCCTCCACTTAAGCACTGATCAAATAGCAACTAGCGATGACCCGGGCAAACTTAGGTATCATGCCACGTAGTCTACGTGGCATGATACCAGCATGCATATATATTGGAGAACATAAACCAGACGTAATTTTTCCTCCCAACTTCTCCACATAATCCTATTGCAAATCACCGCCGTTTCGCTCGCCGCCACAGCTCCCTGTGCTCACCATCGGCAGACAGGAGCTGTTGGAGAGCCCGCTCTGCACCCGGTCGCCGTCCGAGCCGCTCGTCTCGGCGTCCAGTGGGGCGCCGCCGCCGCCGCCGACTGCGGCCACGCCCTCCAGCTGCCAACAGCGCGCCGCCGCCGGTCACCGCCCACCCACGGGCGTCGACAACTTGACTGCGCGCGGCATTGTGGGCGTTGTGCTTACACGCACAGCGATGACGTGGACCTACCAGCGCCCATGACAGCGGACGGCGGCGGAACTCGGGTCTTACGGAAGGCCGAAGTTCTGCCGACTACGACGTTACGTCGTGCAATGACCAAATTATGTAGACTCGACGGTGACAACAGGTCACCTGTGCGCGTGATGCGCGTGAGAGGGAATCGGACTTTCTTCTCAGCGGACGTGCCGACACAAATGCGCGATGACACCTCGCACCGCCGTCTGACATCTACCAAACGCATAGTTATCCCGAAGAGCATAGTTAACCGCTAACGCATTACCGCTCTCACCACACATGGTCACACATAACAAAGTACGAGCACTTGTCCACTAAATCATAGTCGCGTGCGGCGGCGGCGGCGCGGCGCCACCTCCGCCAACCGACCTGGAAGAGGGCGTTCTCCTCGAGGCTGACGCTGAGCCGGGGGCAGCTGGAGCCGAGCGTGTTCTCGGGCACGGCGAGCGGGCCGGCGCGCTCGGCCGCCGGGCTGGCGCCGCTCTCCAGGTGGAGCCGCGCCGGCGAGGAGCGACAGGCGCCCTGCGTCGACAGAGCTGTGGAGGCGGGGCCGAGCGGGCGCGGTCAGGCGCGTGTGAACTGCAGCGTCTCCTGGTGACTGGTGCGCTCCACAGGCCACATACCGTACTGAGTGATACTGGCTGTACTGACAGTATGGACAGATATGGGGCGTCAGGTAGGTCGCGACTATTCGGGGCCGTCACAGCTTCTCGGCGATGGACAGGAAGCCGGGCAGATCAATCTGAGCATATATGGCTTGCTGGTTTTAAGGACATTTCCCAACCAAGTGGGGACGGGGAAACCTATCATGCGTGCACCGTCTGGTTAAAATCCCTTCGGACGACGTTTGCGTATAAAAATATGTGCCTAAATAAGAAACGGAGAAAGGAGCGGACACAGTCAGGACGTCGCCACACCCCAGACGCGCAGAAGTGTCACGTGACAGAAGGAATGCCCGTTTCAGAAGCATGATCCTGCAAGACAGCTATGAATCAAGACATAGGACACAGACACATGCCAAGCACGCGGCGACGCACGAACGCGCACGCACGCACGCACGCACACATACTGCTGCATGCGCTATATGGCAAAACATGGCCACGGCACAAATACTTTACGTAGAGGTTGTCTCGTACGACTATTCAATACAACCATTCAAAAAGCATACCAGCGTTGCAACTACGATCCTGTAGACAATGGGCCGACCTCAATCTGACAATAAGTCTGGTGCGAATCGTGCCCAGAGAAACGATGAAGACCTCTGCGTATACGATCGCCAAGTCGCCAACGGGATAACGACGATGCAATGCGTGTCAAAGGCGCAGGGAGATTTACGTTGCGCTGGAGACGTGTCCAATAGTGAAGCAGACAGCTTTGACCAGCGGTGTTTCGTAGAATCTATCACAAATGCATCATCTGCGCCTTCGCTAACGGTCACTCATGAATCAGACACATTGGCCAACTGACGCGCAGACAACGCTATGAAAAATAAAACTTTGAATACGCGCTGAACGCGACCTGAAATACTACTCGGAACATTCCATAATGGCGAATGTCCAATCCTAACAAAACAAACTCGCGCTTCAGGCCTACAACAGAAAAATTTCAATAGACTGGTATCTAATGCCGATGTGGAGACATCTCAGTCCATTTAAAAAAAAATATGAACAAGGAAGGCATCAATCCTCATGGACAATACCATACACAAAATAAGGAAAAAGCCAAAAAACATTGCTCAGCGCAGCCACAGATGTGTGACAATCGACGCTCTACGACAGTCACTCACACACACACGGACGGCGCGCCACCAGCACAGGCTGACGGGCAGCAGCGGCAGCACAAACACAAGCACACCGCCGGCCAGCCGGCCGGCGTGGGCAGCGCAGCCTGTCAGCGAGGCTCGCGAGACAGGCATGGACGTGTGAGCAGGCACGTGCGTGCCGACCTTCCAGGTTGATGCGAGCCCCGGCGGCCGCCATCTGTCGGGTGACCCGCTGCCGGGGGGCGACGGAGACGGCGCGCGCCCCTGCAGCGCACGGCCGCCCCATTGGCACCGGTCGGGGGGGGGGGGGCGCGCTCAAACCACATGGCGAGGGGGATGCCTGACCTTCAGCCCCGGCCGCGGCAGCGCGGCTACGGTTCCGTTAAGCCGAATGACGGACCCAATCCGGCGATAGCGTGGTAAACACACAGTACGCCACTTTCCGATGAGAACCGGGCCACTCCATAAATGTGTCATCCCAATCACACAGCCGGCAGCCACGCCATACCGGACGTGGCTGATGTCGGCACACCACCTCAGTCCCAGCACAGCGCTGCGTTGAAACGGTGGCAGTGAACCACGACGGACTGGGGCAGAACTAGCGGACTGGACAGGACGGCACGTCCAACGGAGGGCGCCGAAGTCACGTGCAGGGATAGATACGCTCGGGGCAACGAGCCTCACCATCGACATGTTCAACGTAACAAAACCACGACACCCTGGTGCAAATGTTCACTTTCCCAGCGTCGCGCGGCTGCTTGTGACGTAAGCTGCCTACGAAGATCATCAACATGTCTCAGCAACCCACACGACAGGCCCCACCTCTGCCTGCTATGGTAACCGCCACGACTCTACCACATAACCCTCGACCACTAACATGTCCCAAGTATGCACCACCTCCACGCTCCCCAGATTGCAGTAGACATAATCGGTAGTTAGACGAAGCATGCCGACAATGATGACAGAGGACAAACGGGGAAAGTAAGACTTTTTAAGGCACGCATCACTATCATTTTCGACCCGTGTAAAACACGCTTGGGTAAACCAAACATTGCACTGCACTTCATTTCGCGAGCAAAACATAAAAAGGACCCTTCCGTTACGCCGCTGCACTGGCCGCTGGGAGCAGCACCAGAGCCGCCCCCGCACTCACGCGGTACACCGCAGTCGGGCGGGTAGCGAAAGCTGAAGATCCAGTCGCGCTCCACACGCAGCACGCGGCCCGTGATGCGCGCGTAGTACTCGTAGTTGGCGCGGCCGAACAGGTCGCTTACGCCGAAGTTGTCGATCAGGAACTTCATGACACGCATGGCCACCTGGTCGGCAGAGGGGGCGTTGGCTGGGTGGGCACGGCTAGGGTCGAGCGCGCACCACCCACACCAACCGGCTACGAATCACACGGCGAGTACACGTGCGATCTGTGCAGCCGTGAATGGGTTTGTCATGTTTGTGGAGCACCCACGGTAGCTCAAGAATGCGCAGCAATAGACAGCGGCCCAATGAAGCCCTAAAGTGGAATGAGTCAAGATGATAACTGGGACCACGCACGAATGACCGGCGAATATCATGTTAGAGTATTCACACCGATGCAGATCTACCTACAACTTCAACTTAGTTCGTACTAGAGCTACACACTAAGCAATCGTGCGTCAGCAGACAGGTGTTAACTTACATTCACTTCCTCCTGCACAGGCAGGTGAAAAAAGAGAACACACCATTTGTAACTTTGTCATCGTCGACCATTCTGTACGACAGATACTAGGTGAACATTAGCCCACTCCAACGACACATCGGAGTATCACTGCTTTCCAACCGGCATCCTGTTGAATGCCCACAATCCTCTTATGGCCCCAGGGTGAAACAACAACTGAAAGGTGAAATTACCATCACAAAATACCTACGCCTTCTCAGTTCAGGAGTGGGGGGGGGGGGGGGGAGGGTGAGTACGCCACCTGGCGTCTCGTGGATTCTACAGCATCCCGCGCCATTGAAATGCCTGCCATATGTCACATGTGGTATCCACTGGGCTTTTATGACGCTAACAATGACAACCTTGATTAAAGCATGCTGAAAAGTGTTTGCTGACTCAACAGAACGCTACCATCAGGCCGCTTGCCGATCCAAACGAAACAAGACCAACACCCAACCCTTCGATGGCTCACCGACGCATACCACCAAAGCTCCCCACTCCGACCCCGCCACCAGCAAAGCCACACACAAAAAAAAAACAGCTGGCAGTGGGCCTCGCGCCCGCCACCTCTTGCTCGCGCCGCCCGCCAGCCTACCTTGAAGCGGAGTACGTCTTCGTGGCGCGCGTCACGGCCGGTGACGCAGCTTTGGAAGAAGGAGGGCGCCGCACTGACACCCAGCGCCTCTGACGTCATGCCGGTGCGCGCGCGCTCGGCGTGCGTGGCGATCACGCGGAACGTGCCGAACAGCAGCACCAGTAGGTGCTGCGTGTGAGGCGGCAGCGACAGGATCAGCCTGCGACAGACACGACCGAGGTCAGAGCAGAGGCCGACCCTGGGGCCGAGGTCTGCAGACACGTTAGTCTGAGTGCGAGCAGGAGCCACCAGCGAGTGCTCAGCCGTGCGAGGCAAGCGCAGGTCTGTACAGAACGGCAGCACCACTGCACGGAGCGCTTCGGAGACCCAATCCGCACCTACCGTGGTGACCTTGCGCACAGCGCTAATGACGACAGTCAGTGGTCTCGCGCAGCAACCGCACAGCGTCTGCCGATGGCGGGCACTAAGGCATACAAAGGGGGAAAAACAGCGTTTGCCAGCATGACGCACTACATCCTATCCAAACAGGGAGACCAATGCACAAGTACTGCCACAGGCAACGGCAGAGGCACCGAGACCGAACGGGCCTCTAGTCTGCGCGACAGAGGCCAGGACGCTGTACAGACCGGTGCGTGCGCTCGCGCTGAGCCTCAGGGTCGTCCAGCTGGACGATCTCAAACAGGCGGTGCTCGTTCTCCAGGCCAAAGATGCCCTCGGGGATCATCCGCAGGAACTTTTTCAGCACGGAGGCGATCGTGTGTATACTGAAGATGAACCGACGTACGCTGTTACCCGTCGCACCGCGGCACGAGACAACCGGTTCACTGGTCCGGAACGCCTTTGATAAAGACGTGACATGTTTGAACGTACGCGGATGCACGCATTCAGTCGCAGAGGTGATATTACGCAACAAGGCGAGGACCTTATCTTAAATCTCTAACCATAAAACGTACGCTGATAAATCGCACAAAACGCTTGAGGCATCGGGAATCCCTTACAGCCTTATAACAGCAAAACAAAACGGTTTGCCGTGCCACAGCACCGCAATGTCGCCTACCTAAAGCTGTCGAGGTTAACCAGCCGTCCGTTCTGCAGGAAGTGGACAAGCTTCTTGATGTTGTTCTGGTGACCGGGCGCCCGGAACACGTCCTTCCGGAACGGTGCCTCCTTGTTCAGCTTCAAGATGAGCACCTGCGGACCCCGCCAGCCAGATCTTCACATACGCCCCACGCGCAGTGACACCGATCATAGCCAGCGGTGTATTAAGCGTGGCTAGGCCGCGTCAAGTGAATGATGTGGATGAAAGAGTGCTCGTCGTCGAAGTCTGTGACATTAAGCTACGCGCGTCACAGCCGAAGCGGTTTCAGTCTTGCCCTGATTTAAACTGACTGTAGCTTGCGCGCGAGCGGTGAGGGGAGAGGATGGTAGCAGGGGATGAGCCTCGCTATCCACACAGCAGCGCCCAGACAGCCAAAACGGCCTCATCTAACACTGACAGCACAGCAGTGTCGGCTCTGGCCCGGCGAGACCCGGCGAGTCGGCCCGGTCCAAGCCTCACCAGAAGCGGCCCAGGTATGTTGCTCTTGCATACTTGTTCTAGTGGGAAGCCGAACTTCACCCTGCAGAAGGGCGCAGACGAGCCTGTTAGTTCGATCGGGACGGTGCGCAGCGTCCGCTGGGTGGACGGTGCTGACAAACGCTACAAACCGGACGTTCTCGAGATCAGCAGGACCACGAGCACCGTCCGGACCTGTGTCCAGTCACGTGACAGGCGGCGGCCGTTGGCGCGGCGGGCGGCGGCCGTGGGCGCGTCCCGGACGCGGGATCTCCCCGGTGTGGGCTCAGCGCCGCGCCCGTCCAGGTTGACATGGAAACGCCAGACGCCAGCCGGCCGCCCGCCACGTCCGCCACGTTCGATGACGAGTCGGGGCTGATGACGAGTCCGGCGAGCCCGACGGAGCAATTACGGCGGCCGTCGGCCGGCAGGCTGAGATCGAGCGGTGCCCGGCCGGTCGGAGCCGCCTCAGCCGGCCATCAAACGGCGCATGCCGGCCAAAGGTCAGCTCTCGTCCGACGGAGGAAGCGCCAAATGCCGAGCCAGTGACCTCGCGGCTCGCGACATCGGGACATGCCTGCCGAACTGGTTACAGCCGCTCTGTATGGCTGCACGTGCCATGACATGGGCAAAGTCTGCACCCACCGACAGAGTCACGACGTGACTCCGTCTCTGCCCAATGACGGAATTGTGACAGGGGGTCTGTCTCCGTCTGCACCTAACGGCAGCAGTCCGACGCGGGTCCCATCGGCGCGAAGAGCGCTCCGACACGGGTCCCACCCGCACGGACAGCGCTCCGACACGGGTCAGGCCTGTGTCGACCGACAGCATCCGAGCACGAGTCCTGTCAGCACCGACCGGCAGCCACGTCACGGGGGTCCGGATCGCGCCGATAGAGCAGGGTTCTGCACCCGGTAATCGTTCCGTCTGTCCCACCTAGCGACGCGTCTTGATCACGCAGCCTGGTGGGTTGCTGGCGTGAGGATAGCTTAACTGGTCAACAGGAAATAAGCCGCTCACAAGCCCACCAGCACGGACGCGGGCCCGTTATCACTCCCGTTTGCCGGAGATCGGCGATACGGCGAATCCCTTACTCGAACACGGAGAAACTCAACTCGTGCCACCCGCAGCGGAGCCTGCGTCGCAACGCGCAACGATGCACAGAGGATGCTGGCCGCGCTGGGGAAACGAGGGATGGGCCGCCGAAGAGTCAAGCCCCCCCCCCCCCCCCCCGCGCGAGACCTGGCGACACATTAGGTCGCGCCGGTGCGATCCCTCCCCCCCCCTTCGCGAGACCTACAGCGACGTATTAGATCTCGCCGGTGCGATACCCCTCCCCCCCCCCCTGCGCGAGACCTAGCAACACATAAGATCTCGGCGGTGCAGTTCGTGCTGCAGTTGATTGCCGGAACTGGCCAGAGCCACAGCCACCCAGCTACAACTCACGTCCGCCCTTGCATCAGCTCAGCGTGCCTCCGGCCACTCATGAATCACCGCTCGCACGTACACACGTCACGGACCGAAGCACGTGACGTCACCGTCCGGCACCGTCGCCAGCCAACACCGTAGCCACAACGTACGGGCCGGCAGCGAGTCCGGGAGCGCACAGGCGGACACGGCACACCGGAAACACCCCGCCTTCAATTAGGGTCGGCTGGCAGCCCACCGCAAGCGCCATTAGTTTCTCCTCAGCACGAGACCCCAGCCCACCAAAAACGTCCTACTTTACATTTGGCGACGGGCACAACGGACCGGAGGTGTCCCTCGTTCCCCATTAGCCTGGCGCCTGTACGCTGCCTGGTGCAGTACACTGCAGAGATCACGAAATAAAGCGACCACGGAGGATGACCCTCGGATATTGTCACACAACCTGGCACGGTTGTGTCACAACCTGTCACACAACCTGTCACACAACCGGGCAATATCGCGCTAACAATTTCACAGCATAACACTGTGCACAGTGGGCAGCACTTCACTCCACTTTCACATCGAGACGCGTCACGCTGTGCACATGACCAATGTCTTCCTTCACAACATGACACAGCGCACCGTTAACATCACACGCACGCACGCACGCACGCACGCACGCACGCACGCACGCACGCACGCACGCACGCACGCACGCACGCACGCACGCACGCACGCACGCACGCACGCACGCGCACACACACACACACACACACACACACACACACACACACACACACACACACACACACACACACACACACACACACACACACACACACACACACACACACACACAAGACCAAGACGCGGCACACTGCACGCACACACACACACAAGACGCGGCACACTGCACGCACCACCACATCCACTTCCGCACCTGGAGACAGCACACTACAAACTCAACCACCTGCACCGGCACCACAGGGTAAGGCGCGTTTCGCACAGTAGAACCAGGGGCGCAGGCGGCAGTACCCGGCTATCTTGTAGCGGCGGCGGTCCGGCCAGGCCCAGCGCGGAGCCGGCCACAAGCAGAGCCTCGCCATCACGCCTCACCAGCCGACTGGCGCGTTCCCGGCGCCCGCTGCCGGGCTGGCGCCGCCGCCGGGCGCGCGGCAGGGCAGGGGGCGCGCGGCGGTGGCGGGGGGGGGGGGGGAGGGGGTAGTGATTCTGAGCTGCAGGGCGCGCTGAAACCAGGTCGGCTCTCTTTTGCCGGTGATGCCGTCGCAGCCCGCGGCGAAACCGAACGGTTCAGAGCCGCGCACCACCGATCTACGAAAGGAGAGAAGGGTTCTGGTCCGTGAAAGAGCGTTTGATGTGAGGCTGTTTTCCGAAACTGAAGGGTAAAAGTTAAACCCGGCTGGTCACAGCTGAGTGCGGCGCAAGTACGGCGTAGAGGCAAAATATGAGTTACTGATAATCAGCACAAAACGACACAACTGGGACCGCCTGGTCCGTACGTGACATCTATTACGGCTGGTGTACGCGATGTGCGACATAAAAAATGGAGACTTCAAGCGCGCAGTAAACGAACGTGACGGGGAGTAGTAATGCTATGAAAAGCAGTTTATCACACCGCTACTAACGGTATTGCTACCTGAGCGAGGATTTGACCATTCCATTTGCGGAGGTTATCGCTTCCCGATGAAAATGAATCCTCAACAGTATGGCACCCGGAAACTTTTCGAAATCAACACTTACGCATGAACTGGTGACACAAGAGGAGCGTATGCCGGAGAGGCAATAACTGTTTCTGCAGAGGGCTACGATTACATGGCATTTACCGAAGGCCGCTCGCATCGACCCGAGTGGGCTTCACTGACTGAAACAACCAGGAAAAGCTGAGGGCCTGACCGCTAGCAATCATGACGACACAAAAAGCAAGGCGACCCCGCGTCTGGGACTGGCCGGGGGAGCCATTACAGAGGACAACGCACCTCCCGGCGGGCCGCCGAACTGATTTTTTTTTTACTGCGACGAAACCGGAGCTTGTGAACGCAAAGGCGAAATATGTAGGCCTGCATGGCCGGCAGCCGCAACCAGCTGGACTTGAGGCATAGACGGAGAACAGCTGGTTGCGCCTCATCTCGCAGACGTTGGATGCCGTACGTCGTGCAGATCCGCGGATGCATTAATCACTAGAACCGGGCAGCTTTCATCGTCGGCAACAGCAAAAAAGCCTGCACGTAAAGGCGTTCTTCCGCGGAATCGTCATCACCCAGCGTCGGCGCTAGTGCCGAGGCCGTTTCTGAAGCGCCGCAGCCAGTGGAACTCCGGGAAGCGGGGCCGGCTCAGTGCCCGAGTCCGGACGGCCGCCGCGCGGCAGACTGGGTGGTGCCATGACACACCGTTCCAAGAGGAGCGCGTGCCGGTGACGAGGCCACGCCGCCCAGCGGCTGAACCGGCCACCGCCCGCCCCGCCCCGCCGGCGGCGCCCGCGGCTGCCTGACTCAGTCGCCGGCCGCGGCCAGGAAGCGGCCGACATCAAACGACGCTGCGCGGCGGTGCGAGCAGGGCAAAGTCCAGCACGCGGTCTCGACCGCAATACGTCCGGGAGCTACACTGCCGGCCGACTTGTCAGCGCTTCCTTGTCATTGTTCTTGTTCTGCTCTTGACGCCAGGCCCTCTCGGGATCGTGCCCCGTCGCCCACACTGCATCCCGGTAACATCTGGCACTGATTGCAGGCCCGATGGCGACGGTCACGCCCGACTGAAAGGCCCACAAACGGAAAATCGCCCGCAACAAACGAGCGAGCAAGCAGCCACACTCACTTCTCGAGCCGGCGCGGGTAGGGGCCGAGCGGCAGGCGGCAGGCGGTGACCACGGTGCCGAGGGTGGCGGCGCGCCGGTGGATGCGCTCCGTCCACGAGGCCATGTCGCCGCTGCTGCGGCCGCGGCTGGCTGCCGGCCGTGCCCGGCTGTCGGCTGCCGGCGGAGGCGGCGCCTTTAGGCCGGACGGGCGCGGCTGCAGCGGGGCCGGCGCACTGACGGGCCGCTTCCTGGTCCTGCCCAGCCGACAGCGGCGCGCACCGGATGTGCCAGATGGTACAGGATTGCGGTGAATGGCCCAATTCCAGCATGGGTCAGATGGTTGGTTGGTGACTGGATGTTTCAGAGAAAGATAATAATGCAATACCACCTACATCAACATCAGTCATGTGATTGTTTGGTCAAAAAATGCTTCACAAATATGCTGTTCCAATTTCACTGCATTTATGGGCATCATGGTTGGTACTGTCCCAGGTTTGGGATTCAACCATACCATGCGTGCCTTTATGATGTTTGGCAATATAAAGACCAGAATGTATATGTAGCAATGCCTGCATGATTTACAACAGCAAGGCAACAATCAGTTTGCACACCTTAAGTCCCATTACATTCAACAAAAAGTCATGCCAAAGGCACCACAAAATGGAAGCAGTGGTAGTTGGCAAGTATAAACACTCCTCCTTGCTCCAATGTGGCTCTGCAGTTTCAATGTCTTAGAATATATTCAGGCAAGTAGGAGGCTGCCATTCTGCACAAAAATACCATTCAGAACAATTTAATAATCTGATTGGGCATTCCACAACTAACCTCTATTTTGACATATGCCCCAATGATGTCCTTACATGTTCCAGGCAGCAATGAAAAACAGCATTGGCAGGCACCAACTATTGATCATCTGAAGTTCTCAGGACTTTATAAATGTGTTCAGTTATACTTGCCAAATGTTTGATTTTATGCTCATTTGTGCTTATATTGGCTCTATGGTTCAACATAAATACACAAAATGAAACAAAAGATGCAGACAAGTTCTGGCATAAATAACATTAACATCAGAAAGCCCACGATTCAATTAGTAGCTGGTGTAATGAATAGTTAAATGACTGAAACAAGTCTGTAAGCTAGTTTTACAACAAATGTGCAAACTCATCTGTCTGAAAGCCTGGCAAGGTAAGACAAAAATAATTCATACTCCCTGAACAGCATAATAGATAGATACTTATGTTTGTTCTTGACTGTCAGGCTGGCTTGTATGAAGTCTGAACACAAATGGGTGAATCTTAAATATATCACCCACATCTAAAAATGTATTTTTAGTACTTTTAGCACTGCCATCACTCTTAAGCAGATGGCATAGCTACACTGACATATTTTATAACTTTTCAGTTCATACCACACCACATAGCATGAACTACACTCCTGTTGTGCATGTAGTGGTAGACAATTGAATGCTGAAGCATTTCAAAGTAAATTGCAATGAAGGAGGGAAGAGGCGGTTGCTATGTACTCCCCACTCACCCCTTCCCATTGATAACTTAAGGGGCCTGATTCAGATGGCTTTATATTTCACAACTTTTTGTAAAGAAATAAAATGAACAACAGTTAACATGCTTTTTATATTTCCACGCCGAAAAAACCCACAAGGAGCCAAAATATTTTGCTGGTCCAAAGTCAGTCCTGCATGAAACAGGAGTAGATTGGATCTGTTGACAGCAGCAAATTTCACAGGACCCAAGCTCAAATTGAAAGCCCCTCAGGCTGTCAAACCCTATGAACACTTTTGTCCTTTCCCAGAGCAGTTAAGCCTGTGTGCAAAGGCATATATCTACAAAGCATTAATCTTCCAAAGTAGCTTTTAGCATAAAGGCTTTGAATGCTGATGTGTTTAAAAAGAAATTTGCCCTAAAAGGTGCATTACAGATAAGAGTGAGATATAAAAGTTGAGCCAATTTGACGCTACAGTGATTTAAGTCATCTCGGTTAACAGTCTAATGTGAATACAAATATTCATGTCACAATTTGCAGACATTTCTATACATACAGCTGGCATGACCATTGCATGAGTTTCAATAAGTCTTGCTCAATGAGGGGACATGCTGCCATGTGTATAGTCCAGTCCATGTCAATTTGACCATAGACATAGCATTGAATATCACACAAATTCAGAATATTCCACATACCTGTTTAGCACATAACAAAATAAACATGCAATGAATTGTGACAAAACCTTGAATAGTGAGTGAATGACATCTTTAGAGTTATCTGAACATAAATGCTGCAGCTCCATGAGCTTATTAATGCAACGAAGCCGTCAATGAACTGCCAGAAGCATAAGTGGACAAACAAGTTATATCACTGGGATTGGTGAAAACAAGCAAGATAAAAATATCATTGATGACATGCCACAGTACATACCTTCCGTGATATACCGCTGAACCACCGGAACAATTGTAGTATTGAACAAACTCAACGCAGTCACTGATTATTGATTGTTGGTCGCTCCCCACGCCACACCCCGAGCTGTGAACTAAAACGCGATGCTAAGTCTCGTGTGTAGTGACGACCTTCGTCGAGATCACGCATGTTCTACATTACTTTGGTTGCTAATGGTGCAGTCAATCAGTGCTAAAGTTCGGAACACATTCCCTATATTTGTACTGCACCATCCCACAGCCGCTCGAGCGCGACAACCCACCACAATCGCGAAACAAATTATGTCGCCCCAATGCGCCGCATGCTCGACATTCATGGCTCACACCCTTCCCCTCCCCTTTTCTAGTCACACTAAACTACTGTAATAATCGTGCCCACTATGTCCGCCTGTAAACTATGGCTGCTCCACATGTCCATTCAGCTCAGTACTGATCCGCTGGTGGCCGGCTATCCCGCATTTGACTTGACGACCTAATGTAGCTGTAGCACAGCAAAACTAGCTTAAACAAATGTTTTGCATGAGTCCTAAGATTTTCTATTGGTCATTTTTGAAAACCGATCATAACTAAGAACTAGCTGGCAGCTCAGTATGTCACGGAATCACATCATTATTTTCCGGTCTATAAATTACGTGAACACCGCATTCCTGCTCCAGCGATGTATCGATTTAGTACTCCCAGACGAAATGCGCTCAATCGCTAAGCCACCATGCAGTGCAGGGGATCAGCTTGGAATACCTACCGACTCGTGCCAAGGAGACCTTCTCGCGGAATACATAAAGCGGGAACACCTCCAGCTTCAATAATATATGTTCGGAGGACCTTTCGCTCTCATTATCCACACTCAGAAGACCTACTGCTGTGAGCAACCACGCTCAAAAGGTTTAATGCTGCGAATACACTTCCCTTCCAAGACCTGCATTAGGAGGGCTTTCTCTCGGAATATCTACGCTCTGAAGGCACATTGGCTGGAAGGACTACTCCCGGGATACCAACGCTCGGAAGACGTACATATTCCATAAACACCTACTGACAATGTCCATTATATCAGTTAGAGTGTTGAAGTGCCAGGGGGAGGGGGGCGGTAGTGTAGTGGTTAACGCGTCTGCGTTAACGGGGGGGGGGGGGGGGGGGGGGGGGTAGGCAAACTGTGAATGGCCAGGGCGGGATTGGGCTAGCAGGGGCACATACACTGTGTTGAGAACTGAAAGAACTACTCCCGGACGGCTTGCGCAGCATCATGCCTAGGCTGGCAAGGCCTTCGACATGGCGACCCAACGGCTTAGAGGGCTGATCTAGTATATAACAGCAGAGTAGTATTGGTGAGTGAACTCACGCTGACCCATTCCCGCCCCAAAACGTGAAATGTCGCTGGAGTCGGATCGGAGATTGACCAGAAAACATCATCTGTTGAAAGAAAAACAAGACCAGCAGGTCTTCCGCGCGAACATAATCCGAGCGTACGTTTTCCGTGCGCGTCTTCCTGCTGCAGGTCCCTTGAGGTTTTCCAAGAGTAGCTTCATTCACAGCAGTAGGTTTTCGAGCGTAAGTCTCCCAAGCGTGGTTTCGAGACTAGGTCCTACGAGCGTTGGCCTTCCCAGCGTGGGTATTCCTGGAGAAGGCCTTCTGAGCGTAGGTCTCCCGAGTGAAAACATTGGAACAGCTCCCCCGGGCGAAGGCCTTGCTAGCATAGGTATGATGCTGGGCATGCCTCCCGGGAGTACTTCTTCCGGTTCTCACCACAATGCATGTATCAGCTGATTATTGTTATGTCTTTTGCTAAGTCGGTCATGTCTTCTTGCTTTGTTGATCATTGTTGTTGCTTCGTGGGGGGGGGGGGGGGGCGGTTGTGGAACACACGAAAGCTTTGCTTGCAGTCAAGCACGCGCGTAACATCCCGTTAAGATGAAAGAACGTTTGTGCACCCGGTACAGAACGTTTATATAATAGGGAGAAAGCATTGCGAGGTTTAATGTACACAAAAGTCTGCCCCTCGTCCCTCAGCTGTTTGTCGGAGTCAGTACTAGTAGTAGAGGAGCGCTTTCAGCTCCACCTCACGCATGACCGTACAACTTTATTTTCAGTGTCATTCTTATCCAAAGGCGTCGCGGGGCTGCACAGAATCGGCGTTTGGCTGCACCAACGACAACACGGCTTTTCAAATGGGCTTCTAAGCACGCCATGAACAAGCAACGAGAAACTGCACCCTTGCCACACAATCATGGTCAGTACCTGTATTGCTACTTTAAAAACACGAGCATTACAGACGCTTAGCAATGAGCAGACAACACCATACATTACAATGAAAGTTACAAAATATCAAGGAATGAACAGGAAATGCGGGGCAATGAGTAATTCACATAGCATTCGTTACATTGGCCAGCCTCCCATCCCCACACGGGACTAAGATATGTAGCTCACAACACACGTGTAATCCCGGCGCCTGTTACAGCAGTGACATCACGCCGTTAAGTTGCCATGAAGTGCCGGATATCAGATGATGTATATCCCGGTACTTCCTTGCTGCAACGTAGTGCAGGGACATCTAAATATGAGGCACACCGTTTCAGTCACGCTCAGCCACGTAGTGTCGGTATATCATAGTGACGTAAAGGACGACTAGAACTGCAATAAAAATGTCATCGAAGAGGCCTAGCATGCCGAAGAACGCTTCGGGGACAATGTCCAGCGGCGACAGGAGGTACATGACTGCCGTGACGAAGCAGGCGACGACGCGGACCCGGAACATCAGCAGCAGGCCTCCCTCGCTGAAGAACTCCAGGCAGAGGTGGCGTAGCAAGCACGGCACGTCCCGGATGTATTCCAGCCACTGAAACCAAAGTTAAGCGTGGAGGCACGCCTTTTTCTACACGTACAAAATGACGCCGTATGTTGTTGCTCGAACCGCAACAAGTTTCTCACATCCTCAACAGACCACAAAAATGTAATCAGCCTGTTGTGTGGCTTTCTGCACTTATGAACAGCATATCGCTGGTCCTACCTCGCGTGGCTGACCAGAAAAGCGTCGATTGTAGGCGGCGACATTATGGCGTGCCGTCAAGCGAGCCTCTGCGCTCTCCAGCTCGGCGCAGTTCAGCTCGGCGTCGGTGAAACAGGCAAACAGCATGATCACCTACCGCAGGATCGGTTCTTTTGTGCCAGGGAAAGACGAGAGGTAGAGGTGGAGGAAACGAAGACGGAGGGAGAGGAGGGATGGAGGGAAAAGAATAGGTATATGGTATACTCAAGCGCATACATTCACACGCGAACGTAGCCCCCCCCCCTCCCCCCCCCCCCCACACACACAAAGTAACGAATGGCAGAGTACTGCTTTATCAGCGCAAAAGATTGTCTGACGAATTCGCCATGTGTATTTTTAATATCAACTGTTCGTAATTTCGCAAAGAAACTTTAACAAACGCCCGGGTGGAGTAGCGTGGGTCAATTTGACCCCCGAAGGTTTTTTCCGGGACGTTTTCCGAGCGCAACGCCGTAGTCGTACCAAATTTTGCAAAGCTGCAGGAAATTGCATAGCGGATCGTTTGGTATAAACAATTTAGATCTACCTTGTAGGGTCGTTGCCCTATGACAGGTCAAAGTTAGGTCATGGATTCAGCGAAGACGATTTTTAGGAAAAATTTTCAAGCTGATGCAGCAGCGGAATGTCAGACGGAGCTATACCTTTCTGAAATAGCTTCTCAGGCGATTTAACGATTCAATGATAAAATTTCAATGACCTAGGGTCAGGTATTTAGACCTAGGTTAAAACTCTGGAACAGGCTTCTGAAAGGTCAGGTAAGGTCACTGACCTAAAATGACCCCGTTCAGCATTTTTTTAGCAACACACTGCCTAGCGTAACATTTGACGTTTATTAAAATGCAAAGCTCTATGCAGCCTTGTATAAATTTGTGTCGCTATGACTTGCAAAAGGTCAAACAAGATCACTGACCTTGAATGAGCACCCGCGCCTTTTTTGTTAGAACAAGCATCTCGGTTCTGGGGCACTTTGGACAGCAATCTTGAATTTGGCCTTATTCGCTCTGATTTGACCCGACGGTCATGACCCAAGAACCTCACTTTTTACAAAAGTGAGGACACGTACAGGTCAACACACACACAACACAACACAAATGTCAACGCAACACAACACAGGTCAACAACACAACACAATAACAACAACACAACACACAACAACGCACACAACACGCCTTGTAAACTGAATGTATCTAGCTCTCTCAGATTCTAAGATCTCAGGGAGGGTCAAATCGACCCCCGCGAGCGGAGGGTATGCAACCGACCACCCGGCACGTGTTAAAGAATGAAAACACTGAAACCCGATGTAAATTATATCACATACTGAGGTTCTATAACTTTTTAAGAGCCTTGGCTTCATTTAACCGGGATTTGAACTTGAACAAAAAAGCTCGTGATAAACATTGGCCCTTTTCCCGCTAACATTTATTGCACTGGTACCTGATTTGGTCCCGCCGCGTTCCCCACGCGCCTAAATTTGAAAAGCCCAGAGAACATGAAAGATAGGAATGAAACTCGTTGTCTTCCGCCCGGGAAACATTACTCTGCAATCGTTTCCTTTCGTCATCTTGTACCACTTTGTCATTTTACGCTCGGGTTTTCTCATAGCAAGAAATCATAGCGTGCGCGAACGTCAACGTGCGCTCGGGTGGGGGTCAAACTGACCCCCAAAGGATTTTCCAGAGCAATTTTCAAACGGCCTGGCGTAGCATTCAACCGGCTACCTGGGCGCATGTTAGAGGGAGTGTTCCACATTTATATGGGGCTTTGAACTGAAATAGACATTTTGAAGACCTTTCGGGGCTGATCACAATCATGCCCTTCTTACGACATAAGTCCTAGTTTCTGAACTACACGCCCACAAAAATGGTGAAATGTATATCGGGGAGAGTATTTCAAAGTGACTTTGGTATTCATGTCATGATAACGTTATTCAAATCCTGCCACCCCATAAGCCATGCAGGGATCAAGACGAACAAATGATGTCGAGGCGTTCATATCTTGCGTTCGTGAGCGCGATTTCCAGATATAACAGCCGTCAATTGGCCCTCAGTCGATGATGTGCAAAACGCGATAACGTAATCAAACCACGACGCATTGAAGAGCTTATTTAGTACACAGAGCATTGTGCCGTCAAGAACAGTTTTTCCACTTAATAAGTATACCACGAGATAGAAGTAAGCTTATTTCATCATATCTGATGCTCGCTTTAATGCCTTCAAACGTCAAGCAT